GATCCCGGGGGAAGTTTGCCGGGATCGGGCAGCGCTGCTTTTCAGAGCGGAGACGTGGAGGGGGGGCCGCCGGGAATGTGGGATACCAGAGGCAAAGAGTCTTTAGTTTCCCTAAGGGATTTTAATCCTTTTTATTTAGTTCTGGTAGGCGAGGCGCAACCCCGCATCCTTTCGCACTCTTTGTTACCTTGTGATACTCGGATACGTGCTCCGCGGTCCGTTTCCCAAACTTGGCACGTAATTCGTTAAACGCAGGCCTGTGGAGACCCACTGGGGTTTAGATTCCGTTGTCCTGGCTCTGCCACTTCTCCTTGGCGCTCTGCTGGGCCGGGGTCTGTCCCTTCGAGCGGGGAAGTCGCGTCACGCAGGCTTGACAAAGACAGCTCTGAAGTTGACAAATTTCAGATACGGCTGCTGCCGTTCCCCAAGGTGGCCAGCAAACCAGCTTACTACTGGACGCTGGTTTATTTTCACCCGTTAGCAGTTTGAATATTTGCTTTCAGCCTGGCCTTTCCAGAGGAAACGCGTTTTGTTGGGGTTTTTTTTTATGATGCAAAAGACATGCGAAGTTAAAGCGAATTGCACATGTAAATTCTCTGAGCTCTATTGTGCGCAGTTTTCACTTCTACAAGTAAACGCTAGATGGCTTTCTTATATCAGATATCCAGCAGAGAAGGAAAGCATGTAATCTGTCTCTGCAGCCTGCTATTTCTGGATTTGTCTATTTTTTTCCTTTGCATGAATAGTAAACTGCCTTCTTGATCAGTTCTGCGCTGATTAGACTAGAGCAGAATTTAAAGTTAGCTTACTAGCTGACATAATTCATTGTTTTGATCAGCTCATCTTCCTCCTTATAGACATTATTTTATATATGTACTACTAGTATCTAAAGGAAGTTTGTTTAGTTGGAAGATAGCTCTGCAAAATATTTAGGTTGCTTTAAAGGAAGGCAGCTGGACAAGGAGAGATGTTTGGAAACAGGGAAAAAACCCTGTAATAACTCAGCCTCAGTTACTACTTAGTTTGATGGACTTATTTTAAAAAGGACCATAGTGCATTAATACTGTTTGTTCAGCTGTTGGTTTTTTTTTTCTCAGACTCTGTACCTAATTATCTTAGGCTGAAGCATTTTGGAGTTGAATTCAGAATCATGGTGCATCACAGCCTGCTGCATACAGGAATGCCTAGGCCTGATGCCTTGTTTCTTGTGTTTTTTTCAAAACGGTGCTTGTTGTTAGTGGTATGTGTTATTTGGCCTCCAGCTGCTTCTCTGGTAGCAGCTCTGAAATATTTCAGTCTTAAATTTGATCTTTGAAATATCTTTTATTATTAATGCAAAAATGTTTCAATCTTTAAGAGCTATAATGCATTATGGATATTTAAACATCACTTAGGCTCTGCAACAGTTGATTTATAATTTATGTAGCAATCATATAAAGCCAGATTTCAGAGAGATCTCTGAATGTATTGTATAGGTTTTCTGTGCTCAGTAGGTTACCTTACCAGGTCATACAGCACTAAGATGTACCAAGGATGAGTGCTGACTTGTAAGGATGCCAGACTGTTTTATTAATTGTATGGGATCAGTTAAAGATCATGCCATTCATATATGCCAGGGGTTTAAAGTGAAACTTGGAACTAAACAAAACACCAGTTCTTTTGTAGCTGCTATTTGTTTACTGTGAAGATCAGAGTATTTTTAAAGTTCTCTGTTCTGTTTTCCTGAAAGAAAGATAATATGGTCTTTTTTGTAGACTTTAACTGACATACCATTAATCAAGTGCGTTGTGAAATACTCTTGCAAATGAGGAAAGTCAAGTGAGGAACTAAGAAAAGCAGTGGTCAAACAGGCAAAACCATCCATTTCTTTTGCTGTTTGACCTTTACAAGTGAACCAAGGGAGTTTGTTTTTTCACTTCTAGCTTCATATTGGACATGGTAGTCAGGCATTGCACCTAAGCTTACTGTGTGCATCTAGATCAGCAGTTCAAACTGCAGGAGACATAAAGTAAGTATTTTCTCCTTGCCTTGACTGGAATTAAGACTATATTTAATGACTGCATGTTAAAACATTTTCAGCAGGTTTGTACCTTTTGCCGATGAGTGATATAACTTGGTAATACTGAGTGAGAAATGCTGTGTTATTATGACAATATAAGATAAGTTACAGATTGTGGAAAGAGGGTGGGGCACTGGGTTATCTAGTTTCTCACGTTAGTCATCCGAGTACCAACAGTGGCTGTATATTGACAGCTTGAAATAAAATCATGGTTTGATGAATGTTCTTTTCTCTTTCCATGCAGTTTTTGCTTTGTAATTAAAAAATGCCTTGCAATCTAAAAATGTTTGGGCAAGCTGTGTTGTGAATCAGTAAAAAGGAGATGGCTTTTTATTTTATGTATTGCAATGTTGTACCCAGTAGAAATTTTTTATATGTTAGGTAGCATAATTTGTATCTGATTCTTTAAAACATTGCTTCTTGCAAAGTTAAGACAAACTTTAGTTTATTTATTTGCTTTTAAGGGAATTTTCATCCTCTTTTAAATTT